TTTTTTTTTTTTTTTTTTTTTGAAAACCAGCTTGAAATTTTTCAATTTTTGAATTAAAAAAGAAAAGTGAGAGGGGAAATTCTTCCCCTTCTTTTGACTTCAACTGGTTCTGCTCTCCCTGTCCACCTGGTCCAGATTTCAACTGGAAACCTTATGGTGTAAGGACAGGACACCCCATTAGCAGCCCATGAGTCATGTTCTGCGGGGCCTTGGAAAACAACTATATTGTAACACGAATACCTCATTTCCTGCCAGACATGAGAATGAAAGACCTCTCTTTTATATTCCCCTGGAGCTATTCTACAACTCCAAGTTATTGTTCTGCTTGCAAAGTGATTATTAATGGCATGGATAGAGAAGTGTGAAGCATACAGGAGAAAAGAATGGTTTTCCCCTTTGCATATTTGACACAAAACAAAGCAAAACACTTAAGGAGGTGAAAAAGCATTCAGGACATTTAGGTAATAAGCAAAACAGCACGTCCAACCGGATGGAATATGACTTTAAATCCACGCTTCTTGTCTCTGCTTTCAAAACACACTTAAGCCACCAACTGCACTCCAGCTTGGAGTGAGACTGAAATCCATGCCTTCATTGTGACAAATATACTACAGTACAAACATTGCATTTCTCTGTTAGCACAGCACAGCTTTGGGAGGTTTGGGCAGGCTACAAGGTTGAAAATGCCTTGCCGACCAGACTTACAATCAGGAGTGAATCCAAGTTTAATCCAGATGCAACTTATGGGTCTGGCTGGATTTGCAGCTCTGGTTCAGTCCACAGTCAGGAAAGGATCCCAGCTATGAGGCTAGATTAGATACCCCACAGTACTGGGGTCTTTGAATCTCAGTTTAGGGTTTGGGTTTCTCACTCTTCTTGTTTTTATAAATCAGTTTACTAGAGAACCCGATCTGCCCACTCTCCGCACTAAGCATGTTAGATCTAGCAATGATATTCCACCAAAAAAAAAATTTATAATTGTGTCAAGTCGAGTTAGTTGGAAAACTCACGGGAAATTTAAGCACAGGAGCTTGAAACAGATTGCCTTTGACAATAATTCATACTCAGTATAGACAGAGACGAAGTTAAGATGGAATCAAAGGCCAAAATAAACCCTGTCCTTTAGTAGACCAGACTGGATTTAAGATGCTGCCGCCAGCAAAGACAGGTAATATTAAAACACCACGTGGTCATAGATGCTGGAACACAGGGCAGAAGGGGATGCTTATATGCATATCAAAGTGGACTGAGAAACTATAGTGCAGACACACATTCAAATGAGCTTTTTAAGCTCTGGAAGATGTATAGTGAAACAGGACCCTGAAGAGTTTATCCAGTGCCATAGGGAAAGACGTGAGGCAGAACATGACTTTCCTCTTTAGAAGGCACTAGCATATGAGGGATTTCCAGACTGACACGGGAAAGCAATCATTGCATGCATCACCGTGGGACAACGGCCGTTGCCTGCAGAGCATCGGCAGTCAGCCCAGGTCGAGGGGCAGAGGCCAGGAGCCCCGACAGCGTATTCATGGCCAAAGTAACACTGCTTCATTGCTTAGTTTGGGCCTAAACTGCAGGCATTGTGCAGACCCTTCCCTTAATCAGGTTTGCTCTCTCCTGAAGCCATGGGGCTTTTCATTAGAACATGCAGGACCTGGACTGCAGGGTGGGGGGAAGCCACTGTAGTGATCCTGGAGAGGAAAAAGCAATCAGGACCCATGGTAGAGATGATCTCTTTTATTAGACCAACTTGATTTTTGCAAAAAAAAAAAAAAATCTTTAATTGCAAGCTTTTGGGCACAACCACCCTTCATCAGGTGTTGGAGAAAAGATTGTAAAAGTGCTCCTGGGTAGAAATGAAAGTTCATCTTTCCTAGGAGAGTTAAAGGTCCAATAAAATCTCTTGTTTGAAATGGTTCATTTTATGCAGGTTAGGCTCAAGGAAAAGTTGGAACAGGCTGTTTACCTGGAAGTTGTTTGTTGGTAAGCAGGATGGATTCATATTTCTCTGAGCCTAATATGCATATAAAATGAACTTTTCCAAACAGATTTTACCACCTTCAACTCTCCTATGAAACATGAATTTTCATTTCTACCCAGGAGAACTTTTACAGTCTTTTCTCTGATGCCTGATGAAGGGCGTTTGTGCCTGAAAGCTTGCAATTAAAGAATTTTTTTTGCAAAAAATTGAGTTGGTCTAATAAAAGACATCACCTCTACCACGAGTCCTGGTTGCTTTTTCCTCTAGACCACCATGGCTACAACCCAGATACCTGCCACTCTGGAAAGGAACACGCTTTTCTGACCTCTTGCAGGAGACATTCAGAAACCAAACGCCTGAAGGAGGCAGTCGCCCACAGAAAGCCTGAGGCTGGTGGTGCAAGGAGTTAAGGATAAGTTACTACACTGACCCAGCTCTCTCCTGCACTTCTCCCTCTTTATTGCCAAATCCAATTTGTTACTGCCCTGAAAGCTTTTAAACCTCCCAACGTCACGCTCCAAGCTAACTCACTGACCTGCTCACCATTTCTTCCACGCGCCCCTCTATGGCTCTCCACCAACAAGCCTCATTTTTTCATTTCAACCTAAGTCTTCAAGGCAGTTAAGTATCTGGCCCTTAAGGAGATGTCTAAATTCCCCTTGAAATCAATGTTACATTAGGAGTCAGGCACCTAGGTGCCTTTGTGGAGTTGCGTTTATGTATCCAAAAAAGAAAGGACTGTTTGGTTAACACAGCTTCTCCTGCGATGCTTTTTCTCTGCACCCCTGGAGCTACCAGGCTGCAGCCAGAAGGGAAAAGTGGACATTGCAATGAATAAGTCAGTTTGGAGAGAGAAGTCAGGGGCAACATTAAATCAAAGTGGATGAATTGAAGGAGCACGGTAGCATTTATCACACATCCCTCATGGAGAAAAATACATATTTTTCAGAGAATGGTTATAACTTTACCAACACGTATATATGAAAATATATAAAATATGTATATTGTACAAAACTGGCAAAATTTCATGTTTTAAAAAAAAGGGGGAGGGGAAGAACACAGTTCAACATACCAAACTTATTCTACTGCTCTAGTGTTTCATGCACCTACCAGATACTATCTTTTAAATGTGAAAATTAGCCAAGTTTGTAATGTAGCAATATATTGTATATACTCGCACATGTATATTAAAACATATAAGCAGATCAAGCTTTTTTCTTTTTTTTTAAACTATGTGGAAAATACATATTTTTCATATGGGATGACCCAAAATGTCTTAACAGCGCAACTCCAGTAATCGTTGCTGATTGTTTTAGCACATGCTAATAACCGTTTTTCAAAATGAATAATATACACTGGTTGCATTTTTTTTCTCAGCCTGCACTTGTGAGTTAATGAGCTAAGTCTCTCCCTCTCTTGATAAGGACCTTATGAAAGCTCCCATAGAATATCTTCTTCACTTCCTGTTGGTCAAAGATGACTTCCTGTAAATCAGTCTTGTAGTCATGATTGAAATAGGTCAAGGATTTCTTACTGGCTACAGGGGAAAATAGGACAAATAACAGCTTAGAATCAAAAGAGAATTTGATTTCACCTACAGTACGTTGCAAACATTAATAAAGCAATATGCTTAAGCATGCTGAAATACTTCATACGTCACAATAAGAAGTTGTAAGACCAATAAAAGGAAAATAATAGTACAAGAATGTATTACAAATGAGTGTAAAAGAAATTAGGGTTTTAGGGAAGATTTTTTTTTAATTACACAGGGAGCATTTTCAAGCATTACACAGGGAGTTTTTAATTACATGGGGAAGCATTTTCAAATGTTACTCAAATGCTTCTCATCTAGGCTTGGTGCACACCACCTTTTGGCAACAAAAACATCCAAATGACTAATGAAGGCAGGGGTGCTGCTCTTATCAAATGCATACATATACCTGAACCTAATCTACGCCACGTGAAACCTTACAGTCAAGTATAACACCAAGGAGAGGCTGGAAGTCTTCATCTGTTATCTGCCACACAGCAAAGGGCTCTTTAGGAGTCTCTGGCAGGAGCCGGAGGACGAAGCTGATGGTGTGCTCAGGTGGGATCCCAGGAAGGTGCGTTTCACTGGAAGGAAATAAGGAGAAGACGCTTCGGTGGTTTATGATCATGATGCCATTGACAGATGTTCACTTGAAGGAGTGATGGGATCGACCCTGTGATCCCAATCGCACCTCCTGCCGTGCTACACGTATTTGACAAAACATGGCATTTTAGGATCAGGAATCAGGCCCTAATCATGCCCTACTTGCCAGTACAGAGGGAGCCTGGGATTAGGATCCTAGGCTCTGTTTGCACCAGCAAAGCTGCTGACAATTAGCTAATTGTCATCTGGCTCTGAGGACCCAATGGGCCGATTCGACCCCCCAGAGCTGGCCAGTGATCGGCTGATCACCGGCTGGATCGGGATCACACCAGGGCTGGAATGGGTATGGTCCACCCAGCCACACATTCATTTTAAGGAGAGAGAGAAACTAGCCACAAATGGGAGACTCCTCCCTAGCTTGCTCCCACGGCCATAGGGCTGAGGGCGAGCAAAACTCGGGGGCATCCAAACCCCAAGCCGCCGGGCTTGGGCCTGCACATAGGATGTCTGCCAAACGATTTGGAAACATCTGAAACCCCAGGTGGGGTGGAGGATATTTGCTGGTAGTAGGGCCACATATGTTCTTGAATGACTCATGGGTTTGGAATTGATTTAGCTGATTTCGCTTGGAACGTGAAACAATTTACTAAATAAAATAAAATAATATCATGACTGGTTTTGCTTTTTGCCATGCCATTAATTGCCTAAATGCGTGGCCAGGTTACGCTTTAAGACACAATTACCTTGTCCATTGTATCTTAAGTGTAATGTCTACCAGAGACCGGAGAGTCAGGGGGTAACCTTCCACCGTCCTGGGAGCAAAACTGAGAGGTGTGGGCTTCAGAGGCATGATGGCTTGATGTAAATCAAAGCAAGGGCCAAAGCCCTCTCTTAGCACAACTCTGTTAAGACTGAAGGAATTACTCCACTAGAGTATTTCGTCCACGTTTTGCATACTCCTCTTGGGTCTTGATGCTTGATTTTGAACACAGTGCTCAAGACATCCCAATGGCTTTTTTCATAATGCCACAAGGAAGATCCAGGCACAGTTGTTCCCGTCAAGCTGTCACTCCTTGAGTTGGCTCAGGGTTTGCTGAAGAGGCAGCAGAGGCAGCCCTGCCTCCTTCCATATAGACCACTCCAGCAGCTTATGAAGCAACTTGGATGAGTCCTGAAAGAGTCCCACCCACCCACATCTCATCTTGCTGGGACCCTTTGACCCCAGCTGACTTCCTGCCCCAGCGCAGGGGGCTGGACTTGATCTTTGAGGTCCCTTCCAGCCCTAATATCTATAAAATCTATGAATCTCCTTGTCAAGAAGAACAACTGAAGGACACATGATGTAAGAAGCTGTGAAAGACCTGGGAGCCTTAACAGAGATGCTTAAAAGTCCTCTACAAAGAAAAAAACATGACCCATATGAAGATCATGCCAGTCACCTACACCCAAGGTACGAAATTTGGAGCTCAAACACAAAAACCTTGAAAATGCAAATCCAGATGTGGATTCCTGGCAGGGTCCAACTTTCTTTTCGAGATTGCTGTTTCAAACGTATGAGAAAGCACTTGATTTATGCAAATGTCATTTAAGAGCTACAGATTAAAACTTGACAAGGTAGGTAGAATTAGTCTGAAACACATTCTTAATCTGCATGGGACACATCTGCGTGGACAGATGCACAACTCATCGTGCATCTTTTCAGCACTGATTCAGAACTAGCGTCAAGTTCTTGTTTCTCTTTTCTCCGAGACGTAACGTCCTTGGAAGGCTATACTTGTTTGCCTGACATTCCCCCTGCTTAAACAAAAGGATTTGCCCATGATTTTCTCACTACTTAGACCAAAGAGCTTTCTGAATCTCCTCCATTCTGTTTACCATAAGAAGCTTTGCTTCTTTAAATAAGATTAAAATGATCCCAGTGCCACAGTAATTAGGCTTAGAAAGAAAATAAGACTGAATATTAAGAGTCAAAATCTACCCTGATTTCTATGCTATAAAATACAATTAAGGTCACAGAGGGGGCATGGAATGACAGCTTGTCCATTACCACGTTCGGGATTTGGAAAGGAGCTCATTGAAAAGCAAGCACAGTGAAACCGTTAGTTAATACTTCTTGTCAATAAAAATCAGCCCACTCAGAGCAACCACAAAATTGCCATGTTACAATATTAATTGTCTGGCTCCAACCCAGGAACACTAGGAGAAAGGTCTAAAATATGGTCTTGTGCCAATCTTGTTTCCAGTTGGGACAGTGGCCTCCAAGTTTGATCTTTTAAGTCATGGGGTTGAGGGTTAAAGAAGCAAGTCTCCAACCCAACAGATGAGAACTCAACAGAAGTCTCTGTTTATCACAGGCTGTCTCCAGGCAGTTAATAATACTGGACAGAAGGGCGATGGAAAGCCTGCTGCTAAGTCCCCACAGATGTACAAAATCCGAGCGTGGCCTTGCATAAACTCAGTGCTCTGATCAACCCGTTGCAAGCAATTAAATCCTGCATGAGAGACCCCATCTTCTAACCCATTTAGAGGCAGCTAAGGGGTTAATTTATGTGTCACCACATACACACAGCCCCCATGGAAAGAAAAACTCTCCAATACCACTTTCAATCTCCACACAATGGGCTCCTGCACTAGGCAATTGCCAATCGGGGGTTCGCACCCGTCAATCATCCGTCATCACTGCTGGCCAGCGCTAACATTTGTGCATCACATAGCTAACGAACAGTTGCTGTGATAGATATGGTCTGAAGTGCGTTTGCATGGGCAGCTATACAATTCATGGAGCAACTTCCCCTGCATGGAGCAACATCCACCTCTCCAAGCTACCTGGTTCTCCGGGTCAGCTGAGTATCTCTGAACAAAGTGTAAGTCCGGGAGCCACTGAACACATACGGTTCCATAGCCACTCCTTTAATGGAGGCATATTCCTTCTCCACCAGTCCAAAAGCCTCCATTATATCAAATCCTGCAACAGAGAGAGGTAAATTAAGAAACATTTAGAAGGAAAAAACTTTTCTAAGTGGTCTGAAAACTGACTGCTCTTTGTTACTTCTGAGGGCAAGTGCATTCGAGGAAGGGAGAGGGCTCTACACATGAGTCAACAGCCCGACTGCATTTGGATTTGGATCCTTTACCAACATCTGCCACCATATTGTCTCTTTGTCTTAGCAGAAAATGTGCACAGGTCTGTTTTCCAGAGGTGAGTGACTGAAGAGCAGACAGTTTCCAAGATGGATTTGCAAAAGAGACCAAAACCCACAGATCCCACTCAGACAATCGCAAATTTTCTCTCTTGGGAGCAGAGGGAGCAGAGCACGTGCACTTCTGAAACTCTGACCCTCAATATCTCTTGCTAAAAGTCTGGAGTTGGGAACAAAACATTTATCGGCAAGGTGAGTTAGATGTAATGCAGTCCCTTCGCAGCATCGGATGAAGTAAGCCCTCTGCTTACAAAACTTATGCTATACATTTGTGATTTAGTTGGTCTATAAAGGTGCAAATCTGCCTTGCTCTATACCCTTGGAATGATGTTTTTTCAAAGCTCCAAAATGAAAAAGTGTGTGTGTGTGTGTGTGTGTGTGTGTGTGTGTGTGTGTGTGTGTGTGTGTGTGTATGTGTGTGTACACACACACCCCTCTTTGAAAAAAGAGGGTTCTAATACATTCAAGTTTTTCAACTTGATGCAATATATAATCACCAAAGAGGTGGAATCAGTCCAGTAATTGCTTGCGGGGGGAGGTGGGAAGAGCATTATCTTTTGCTCTGAAATTTGTCCTTGCATAGGCGAGAACCATAGAAGTTGGAAAATAATTTTTAAATATTAAGTATTTCCATTTCTCTCCCTATTCTTCAAGCACTACACAGAGGTGACCTGTTTCAGGCAGTCTACAAAGATTCTCCCCTGACATCTTTGACATCTCATCTGTGGTTTCACATAGCTTCATCTCTCTTCCCGATCCATCATTACAGCTCTCTGAGTCACTTTCTCATTTCAGATTTTAATATGCTCAGACCTTGCAATTGCAATTCTTTTTTTAGTTTATCTGAACTTACAGCAGGCTGGGCTGAAGGGGGCATGTAAGGGGGAGAAGGAGAGAACTAATTCATTATAAATAGGAAAACGAACAAGTTCCTGCCTCATTCCTCACTTACGATTTACTGCGCCTCAGTTCTGGCCGCTGTTCTGGCTTAGGGCTGCTGGGGGATGCACTTTTATGATGCAGGATTAAAGAGTTCATCTGGTGAGCCTGATCCACCTCAGAGCCACCTACCTCTGAATCCTGGAATTACCAACCCCATTAAAATGTGCATCAGATACAATAATATAATGTTTATATGTGAAATGTAAGTTGCAATGATGACCACATTATCCACTGGATCTGCCAGCCCAGAGATGATGCCAAGACAAAGGGCCTTGATGGTGCTGGGTGTTTGCTAATGTTTGCCCCAAAGTTTATGGCTTGGTTATTTTGGTTTCTCCATGGAGAGACTGAGCTGCTTTGCAGATTAAAGGGAGACAGAGGTACTGATGTGGCTTTCTTTACTGTTGCATCTGAAAACCTGACAGTGGTTAACATGCATATTCTTACCGCACCCCTGTACTCCCCACAGTGCTACTCAACAGCAAGGCTTGTTAGTGAATAGACAGGATCAGTCTGTTTTCACATTCATGGCCGAACACAACTGAGGCTTAAAACTTCTAAGATACCTTGTAGAGATCCTTTGACAGAGTTGAGAGTGGGGCAAGCTGCAAAAAGAAAAAAAAACACATACACAAGGGAAGGGGGGAGAAAGCTGATGAGAACCCAAGCAAGACAAACATGGTATATGAAGGAAGCAGAGGAATGGAAAGCTCAGGAAGACACTATATCATGAAATATATATTGTTAGATTTATCAGTACATTTTGGTCAATTCCTCCAAACCAAGCCCAGTCTGAGGGTACACTGAGGATTACATTGATCAGTGAGCCAATAGTCATGTACTCTTCAAAGGCTTGAGGACATATCCCTTAGGCTAAGTACAAACAGTCAAAAAGCCTGAGACTGAATCAATTCAGTCTTTGCAGGTTAGTCTAAGCTATGTAGACTGAACCGATAAGCAAGTGAACAGACATTCACGTTTGATTCTGGAAATGCAGCCACATGCCTGCAGTGGCGCAGGCCAAAAGCCAGGGGGCGCTACAGCACACCTCCCTGCTGGGCTGGAGCAGACAGCTTGGACCAATGCTAGCCCACCCACCCTGCAAGGAGGGTGGTTGCAGGGGAGGTGCAAAGCATCCTGGGATGCTGGGGGACTGTGAGCTAACTTGAATCTGGAGGGGATCTGGGACAGAAATCCAATAAACCAATTTCACTTAAATCAGTGAAGTCTGATATTAAATCCATCCAGATTTATCTTAAACCAGTTTGGGCCATTTTGAAAGTGGTTTATATGCACTGAACTTCTGTTGTGTTACAAATTTGAACCAGTTTCCAATCACTTATACTGGTTTATGCATAATTTCTGTCCTGAGCCCTACAGATTTCTCACTCGTCCATGAAAAATCAGATCAGCAAAAAGAAACAATATATTCCCATAGCCAATCTGCACACACAGAAGACAGTGATCTGCAAGGTTTTATATAGGTCAACCATGAAATGATTTCCCCCTCTCATCATCAGGCTTCATTATACCTTTTTTATTTTGAACTAATTAATCTAGTACTGCTGGTCCATTACAATCTTAAATGCGGTCATAATTTGCTCATCCTGGAGGTAATTCTGGTCAGCCACAATCTAGATGTCAAACCTGTTTGAAGGAATGCAACTGCCTGCCCATTTTTGTACCCCGAACTCTGATTCCACCTTTGCAAACATATCTCCCTCCTCATCTTTCTAAGATGGTAATTCATGCTGAGATTCTCCAAGCTATGGATACAAGCAGCTGTGCATGCATCTACAGGCAAAAGTGCATGTGTATTCCCAAAGGTAAAAACTCTGCACACATATCATGTACCTCTGTACATCTGGGCTGATGCATATTCTTTCACTGTTATAGACACTCAGTAATTAAACTTGGAAACTTGCACATCTTTGGCAAACCTCTGCAGCTCACCTTTATACGAAATCCCCTGCTAAATTCTAGAACATCCCTGAAGCTGCGTGTGTGAAATGCAGCTCATACAAATTGGGGACAAAAGACTGGGATCAAAGGCTCTTTGGTGAAGAGCTTGAGTTATAAATGGTTTGGCTAAAGGAGTGTTTTAAGAATCAGCACATGAGAGCTCCTTTCAATTATTTGTTGCTGTTTAAATCCCTGGCCATAGCTGCCAGATGGAGCTGGGACAAGGAGAATGTTTGATGCAAAAAAAATCAGTGATGTCCCTGAAAATCAAGGACACTTGAGAAGATGGACTATTTAATAAACGGCTTTTTAGGTCAGTATTTTAACGCAGTTTAGCTGCTCATTATATTAAGTCTTCATTAAAAACATTCTATTGCTATTATTACATCCTAGGGCATTTGACAGCTCTACCAGACAGGCAGAGCTTCCAGTCTTTAGTACCTGACTTCTGTTAACAATGTAAGAAATGGTGTGGGAGAAAGGATCCTTCCCTTCTCCTTCACTTCACAAGCATGGGGCCATTTTAAAAGCCCAGTTATACTGCATTTATTTCCGCCCTTTCCCATCCACCGCTTTGTGTCGCAGGCAGATAGTGCCATGGTGTTCCTGGGTAGGACACAAACTCGGTAGCTCTGGTACTGGCAGCTGCAGGGAATGCAGAATCTAAGCCTGGGACCATTTTCCATGCTTATTTTCACCTACATTGGTGTAGGCTCATGGAAATGCCAGCTTTGCCTTCTTGGGAGATTCCCATTGAATCAAGACTAACAGCAATAGGGGAGCCACAGAAAGCTGCTAGGATTCCAGCCAAATCAGCCCCATCCCTGGTTGATCTACACGGCTCACCCCTCAGCAGGTCTTCGGCCACCACCTCTCTATCAGGGCGGCATCATTCAGCTCTTCCACTCAAACTGGGAGCTGGGTGGTAGGTCCTATGTACCAACTGTGGTTTTCTCAATAAATCTATTTCTACACCCTGCAATTCTGTTTGCTTTGAGGCCACTGCAGCAGTAAGTAGCAAATACACAGCCTTCTTCGTCTATCACTTATTGAGAACCGAAGCATGTCAGAGGACACCTAAAACAATTCAACAGGTTATATGCCTGCTGGCTTAGCAGGTGTTTAACCATTTTGCATCTGGACTCCATAGGAGGACTAACTCCTTCGATCCACTCCGTGCTTGTGGACCCTCGCTGGCCAATCCTTCACCACTCACCTCTGCTTTGCAAGAACCTGCATGCTGTTTTATAGCCCTCTAATCTGCCAGCTCCCAGATGGAGCAAGGCACAGCTTGGATACAACATCTTCCAAGCCAACACATAGTTTTTAACCCAGTGCATAATTGTGGACTTCATTGCTACAGGATGTGGCAAAGGCAGATAGCACAGCCAGGTTCAGAAAGGGACCGGATACATTCACGGATGATAGGTGATCTATTGATGGGTATTGAATAGAAAGGTTGGAGATGTTTCCTACAGCATCTCTAAACCAATAATGGTGGATGCCAAGGATAATGAATAGGGGTTAGATCACTCTAAAGATACCCAATTCAATGACGTCTCTCCATAACATCCATTCCTGCTGCAGTTGGAGACAGCATACTGGGCTGGATGGACTGCTGGTCTGTCCCAGTATGGAACTTATTATGTTCTTATGTTTCTAACCATTTGGCCCCTGGTCTTTTAGGTACAGTTACCACAACTACAAGAGCCTCAGCAAGGACATCAACCCAGGCCAGTGCTCCAGGATGAGAGGCAAGAACTCAAAGTTGCAGTATTTTGGCTCTGGGATGTAGAGCAGACCATGAGCATTTCCAAACATGATTGCCAGCTGCCATTTAGGAGCAATGCAGGGTACCCAACAGTGACAAACATTTTAAGCCAAGTGGGGCAAAAATCATCATTTTCTAAATTGGCTACACTGGGGCATCTGGTAGCTATCCTTTCATGTGTGAGAGCTTGGGTGAGCTCACGAGTCCTTGCGATTCTTTTCTCTTTGTTCTTCCTACAGCTTCTCTTGAATCCAAGCCTGCCGGTGTACAACAAGCATCCTGCAACCTCAAATTGTGTCTCCCAATAGCTAGGTTAGCTACCAATATTCTCAGATTCTTATAGAGCAACTCTTACAGCACTTGCAATGTTATTACATGTCAGCTGGACTTCTGTCACAGGCACAACTTTAAAACCCTATAGGATTTATTTTCTTTTCTATTGGCTTTTTGAACCCCATCGGAAAGATGGTTCGCTATTAAATTCCACAGAGTGACTCATAAACCTTTTGGGCTGTTATTTTCCATTTTAACTTCCACAGGACATTTGCATTATGGCCTAAGTATGCAAATCAATATGCAATTTAACAATAAGCCACTTGAAAATTTAGGCTGATGTGTTCTTTTGTTTGCTACAAATGATGATTTTCTCAGTTAATCTGCTTCCCCCCTAGACTTTCCCTAATAAGTATTAAAGCTGAAGTTCTATTAGCAGCATTTCAAATGGAGAGTTACATACACTGTTTCCACAGTATCTGTATTCTATAATTTGCTTTATAACAGCTTTTTTATAGCCCTGCCTGTAAAACATTTGTTCTTAATTCACTGGATAACATGTTTTACATCATGTAGCTTGCAAATGTAGCTGCATACACTCGTTAAATTTAATAACACGTTTTATTTGGGACTTTAATTTAAAGTATTTCTGACATATATTTGTTGCTCTATTTTAGCAGAGTACATATGAACATGAACCTTTAAAGTATTGCCAGGAGCTCACTTTAAGGGACTCTAAGCCTGATGGTTTTACATGTGTTTTGCTTCCTGCTGGACAGATTCATGTCCCCTGTACGGCTTGCGACCAGGGGAGAAATAACATATATCCCCCATCCTGCTTAAAATAATATGACCCGGACACTGCACTTTTACTACTACAAAAGGATGCTTGGGAATTTCACTTTGAGCAAGGCTGACTTACCCTCCATTTTGAAGGGAAGAAATCCTCGTGTTGAAGGGAATTTAGTCAATGCAGAAGCTGGGGGGAAAAAAACCATGTATTCATGAGTCCTGCTTCTGGAACTGGGATGTTTGGCTCTCTATTCTTCAAGGTCAATGAGCTTTCCCTGTGCCCTTTCCAAAGGCAGTCATGTCTCAAAAACACCATGTTGGATAGGCATATTGTTTGAGCAGCACCTTGTTCCCAGCCAAACACCTTTAGGCTTCCCCTTGCTCACCTTTTCAAAGAGGTGAATATTTGCAAAAAGGCAGAGGGGACACAAGTCCCTTTGGGTACATAATTTTTAACCCTGAATAGTCTGTGGCCTAGTTTCAGTGTCTGAAGGACTGAGTGTGGTCACACATACAAAGTCCTGGCACTTCTCATGGCCTGGTCCTGCCATATAACAGTTAGCATTGCTTTCCCCAGGCTTTTGGCCTTCTCGTCTAATGGGGACAACAACTGTACTACGGAGTGGGGATCTATAGATAAAAGGAAAGATGCATATGGGAAAATGAGTGACTGCCCATTTGCTTACCAGTTTGGCCAGTAGTGGACACGGTGTCGCTCTCTCCTGTGTTGTGGATGGCAGAAACCATCACCTTGTATGCCATGCTGGGGAGCAGAGACTGAAGGGTCACACCGCTACTTTTCCCAGAAGCTATTATCTACAGTGGGGAGGAGATGAATGGATTATGCTCAAGCAAAATTCTCATTTAGGCTTTTATTCCCATGCAGATATAACACAAAGCATGCGAGCTATCCAGGACTATAGAAAAACCCTACATCTCCCATCCTTAGTATCCTGCTGAATCCACTTTGGATTCACTTCAGGTCCTCGGAGCAGATTCTCAACAGTGCAAAGGGCTGTTGTGTGTCCAATTTCCACCGAAAGGGAGAAGAAAGAGAACTGGCTTCATTTTCCTATGGAAGCTAGAGACCGGAGGAAGGGCAGTCATCAAGGCTGATCAAGGTGCGGAGTGGTTCTTCATAGGACATGCTCTGTCCAGAGGACTTTAAAACTTCCTTATGACCCTGCAGTCTCTCTGGATACAAGTGGAGAACCTGAGCATTAAAGACAAATGTTCAACCCCTCTAGGTCACAGGGGTAGGACTTTTGTCCTCAATTCTCCATCGCTCCAGTCTAGGGAGGAAAGGGGATGCTCGGAAGAGAGATTTCGAGATGAATTCTACTGATGTCTTATATAGAAAACCCAAAAAGGAGTCTAAAAGGCTTTGGGTCAGACACAACTGGAGAACCTCTTCCTAGTCAGTCAGACAGACGAAGTGGGGTCACTTCTGAGCACCAAATTCCTTGTAGTAACCAAGTTTCTGAGCAGCAGAGACTCCCTATGCCTAAAGACGGGTGACTCCACCTGAAAGTTTGCCAAGAACTTTTTTCCAACTACTCAGCTGGTCTAATTAAAGAGATTGCATCTGCTCAAAGGACCTCCCCTACCTATGTCCTTAGACCAACACAGCTACAACCCAAAAACTCTGGCCTTAATGGAGTTACATCTGGCATGAAGCCGACTTCCAAAGCACTTACTGTTTCCCGAGCGCTCTCGTCAGATTTAGGGGCATAGGTCACTCTGTAGTGCTGGATGCGGCCGTCTGGGGGTGTCCAATGGATCTGCAGGCTGCTGGTGGTCTCCGAATCGATGAACAGGTTGGTGGGTGGATTCCTGGAACCTGCAGCAGGAACAAAGATGAGGGATCCTCACTGTCCGGATCATTGGTACTTGCTTCCCTGCTCTTTTGCTATAATAAGCAGAGGTGTATATGGAGATGGAGATATTGTAGAGACTGAGGGGAGGAGAGAGCAGATATTAGAGAAGAGGACATTGCCTGGGAGTTTAGACAGGCCTCAGCAGAGAAGGAAGAGAAACCTGGGGGCTGAAAGAAACACTTTGGAAAGGAGAAGGGAATTCTTGGAGCATAAAAAAATATATTAGTGTATCCCCTACTTCCCCAACATGTGTATTGGATCAGGAATATCACGGCGTATAGACCAAGCAGTGCACGATCTGATGAAGCTAGTCCTCCCTCATGCCACCCCCATCCTGTGCATCTCACAAAGTCACTTCATACTGCTGAGCTTGTTCTCAGTGAGAGTCTTCCAGTGGCAAAGGCAAAGGCAGGGAGTTAATGACTTATGGCATCAGCACCAGTCCTAGTGGGCAGGGTAACTGTGAAGCCCCTAGTTTCTGGACTGGGAGAGATAACAACGATAATAATTAGCACTTGCATCATAGTGGACATGCTGCAAGCGTGGGGCTGACATTGATGGTAGGGCTGCATGGTACAAGGCAACACAGTGCACAAGGCTTGAGGAAGAAACAAGAGGTCACCCACATTTTACCAAAGGGTTACTTGCCCTACGCAAAGACATAGGGCCTGGTCTTCAAACCCAGGAAGGGAAGAGACTTGTACTAAGAAGGGAAAGGGAATCTAAGAGAGACTAAAAATTGGCAGCTCAGCCCAGAGGAGAAGCAAGGACAGGGCTGCTTCCAGGGCACGAGATTGCTCCTCTCCAGCTTTGTCTGCAGCATAAAAATCCCACTTTCTGGCCATGCGACCTTAATACATGCTTTGCATGAACTGGAAGCTCATTTGCATTCTCATTGATTCCCTTTCCACTTTCTGGGTCAGATAAGCTTGGTGGTGCTGAAACCAAATGAAAAATTATTGACTGAGCTTCAAAGCTGTTGCTACACGCCATCCCCAGGTGAGGCAGGCAAAGAGAAACTGAAGCCTGTTTGCTCCATGGCAGAGGGGAGGGGGCCTGCCTGAGCCCAGGTCAGGTGCCCAATTCACAAGCAAATAGAAAACAAAACAAGGGGGGGAAAACCCCCCGAATAAACCAAACATAAAAAAACCCAAAAGCAAGCAACCAACCCCGCTCATCTTTGTTCAAAAGATTAAAAAGTTCCAGCAGAGGCCAAACAATACATGCTCCATGCTTCCCTTGTTGCAAGTTCATCTGGCAGGAGTAGAGATCTCATATGGGGGAAAAGAGCCTTGTCCACACACCAGTGCTCCCTGCAAGAGCTGCCCTGGGGTAAGATCAAGGGTGAAAATAATCCACGCATGCAAACCAGTGTGTGGCAGCATGCTCTTCCAGTTGCACTATCCCCTAGGGCAGCCACAAATTAGCCCTACACCCCAGATGCCGTTCCAATCCCCTTTCCCGTCCGATCGCCACTCTGCTTTCTGCTCCCTGCCTTGCACTCCCTGCCCAGTTTGCTGCTCTGCTTTCTGCACCTGCATCATGCGCAGAGGCTACCCGTGCTGGAGGTTGGCCACCTCTGCCCTACAACGTGCATCTACAATGCAGTGCTGGGCAGAGATACCCAAAGTACCTCTGAAAGGGTTTGCTCAGGCTCTGGTAGCTGTTTGCTTGCATCGGCGCAGGAGTCTGCACAGGCTACTACTGAGCTCTGCTGAGATGCAGGGTCGATTAGCCCAGGTGGCCTGTCACCCCAGGGTCTGGCTGTCTCTTCACAGCACTGCATTGCAGCATGCAGGATACCTCCAGTTACACCCTGGCCCGTCCTGAATCTCTCCCAGGTTTATGGTCTGTGTTGACCACGACGTTCAGCTAAGATGAACCCCAGATTCCCCTTAGTCTTGCAACCTTAAGAGACTGGCTGAGTTCTTCCAAGAAGAGACTGTTTGAAAGCTCCCAGGGGCCGGCAGAAGTTGACAGCATGGATCTCATAAAGAAGGGAAAGGTCACATTCCTGGGTTGCCCAGGAGGAAACCAGTACTTCCAGCACAGCGGTGCCAGCATCCTGTGCTGCCCCTAAAGCTTTCCTCCACAGCAGGGCTGCCGGCTGCCTGACTCCTCGGGCTAATTGTAAAACCCACACGTCCTCAGATAACAGCGAAGCCCCAGAGACCTCTCTGTGCTAAGTGGCACCGCTGCCCATTTCAAACGTCCTCTCCTAGGTTCATCCAATCCATCACTATTATGTGCACAGTGTATTCCCTGGCTGAGAAATAGCCTGGCTTCTTCCCAACATCTCTGCTCCTCACCATAAGTCATCTTTACCTTCTTTACCAACCATCAGCTTGCTATTTCTATCCAGGCTCTGCTCCTGGGAATCTCAGCTGCTTTGATCTGTATTCAGTTCCCAGCCCATATAATTTACCCTGGCAGTGATGGAAACCTGGACAGTTGAAGTAGAGCCCTATGTTTGGAAAAAACTAGCCCTGTGGTCTTGGGGCTTCACTGGGAGGCTGAAAAGATGTATGGAAACCCCATCAAGGGGAGCAGAGAATAACGTGGGGGTGCTGCATCCTTGGTGAGTGTCCTAACCACTGGGCTATGGGGCAAGACGGGGTCTGCAGCTGTGTTTTGCGGCTCTATCCTCAAAGATAATCCCCCTCTTTCCCCAGAGGGGATATTCAGTGAATTCAAATGCCATGTCCACATCATTCCCAGCAGCTGAAATCACACTTTCCAACAATTTACTGAAAAAAAATCCCAGCCCAACTCAACAGCAGAGGGCAATGCTGAGTAGTGGGTGATTTAGGATCCTGCTTCTCATAACCAGCTTTCCCTGAACACAATCCACATCCCCCTGGACTGAGCGTTGAGCTGGGATGTGGTCCTAATTAAGATGAACTCAGTGCTCTTACCTCACGCCTTAAGGAGGAATATAGGTTCACTTCACAAAACCAGCACACTGAGGCAGGTATTTCACTGACTCGTTTTTTCCCAAGGGGAGGATATTCAAGGGAGAAGCAGAGATTGAGGGGAGCTTGTGTTACTGATGTTCCCCATTGTGTTTCCCTTCAATGACTTCCCTTAAACCCTTAAAGTGCTGTGGTTTTTTGCAAGGTTCTCCATATAACACTATTTTAAAAAGTAAAAAAAAACAACCTTCATGGCTGAAACTTTTCCAATTTAAAGGGGTGCTGACAAGAAAGGGGAAAGAAAAACCAGCATCCCCCACATCCACTGCATTTTGCACTTTGCTCTGGCACCAGGCACTAGTTTGCAGAGATGAAATGCAGCAGAGGGCTTGCAAACTGTCTGAATTGCTGGTGCTTTCTCAGGTCTGGGACAGACATTGCATAAACTGGTTTGACCCAAATCAGTTAAGTCTGATACTACATTCAACCAGGTGCATCTTAAACCGGTTTCAGCCATGTTCATCCTGGCTTATGTGCATTGAACATCTGTTCTGTTACAGGTTTAAACCAGCTTCTGATCACTTAAACCATGTTGTGTGTCATGTCTGTCCCTAGCCTCAGCCTCCAGACTTTGCTTATAAAAGTGGAGCAGAAGCATGGAAATCTTTTTTTTTTTTCTTCCAAAGAAGCTTTTCCTGGTTCAGTCTGAAACCCAAAACCTGTGTCTGCCTTGCCTAGCACTTTCTTCACCAGGACACCCACGGCCTGAGCCATTTTCCAGCCAGTGGGACCACAAGCCTCTTCAGCAAGGAATAGGAAATACAGGCTCAGCAATGTCCTCAGCCTGTCGTTGAAGCCTTACACCAACAGCTGCAACACAGACCATTCACAGTGGTCCGTATGATGTGGATCTGCTCTGTTATTTTATTCCTTCAAAACATACCCAACTGTTTGATGAAGCCTCTAACTAGCTGTAATTGTCCCTTGGTCTTATAGACCACTACGGTGCACTGCATCCATTGCATTGATTCCCATTTTTGCTGTGCAGCATTGTAATACCCAGCTAGGGCAGCTTTCTGCAAGAACATGTTGCTATTATTATTATTATTATTCATTATTAATAAAACCAGGGCTTTCGTTTCCAAGACGGCCATTTACTCTGATCTTCATCAACTCAGAAAACACACTACGGCAGCTAAACAAGTTTACTCTGCAAATAAAGTTGAGAACTAAGGCGGCAGTGGAACAGGAGATGGAGGAGACTGCGGATATTAAATGAATCGTGTTCCTTTCACTGCCAGCAAAGCCATTAGGTGGGGAGTATTAATTAGGAGAACCTTTGGGAATGCCGGTTTTTTTAACCTCCATGCAAAGCAAGATTTAGCTTCTTCCTCCAAGCAGCATTTGACTGCAGGGTTCATTCTCATTTACGAAAGTGCCCCCAATGCAGAGTGACTCAGCAATTAGGCACCCACCGGATTTTGCACCTTCCTTAATAGACAGCATTTTATAAGCAAGCAACGTGCATTAAGCAACGTCGACACGGCAAATTAAACACCCCGTGGTAAGTCGGGACAATCTGCTCCAATACATGGTGTATTCTCTTATGGGGGTGGGGAGAAGGGAACAGAAAAGAGGACTGTGCTCTGCTTCAAGGGTACCAAATGCAATCGGTTTTCTTGCACAAGCTGCAAATGTGCAGCGTCCCAGCCTACAGCACATCATTGCAGCAGCAGGAGCCCACTTCAGTGGGAGGTAAGAAGCAGGCGTGGACTCGATGTGCAGTGGCACTTCTGTGGGAAACACAACATCACTGGCTTCTCGCTCCGCTGGTACATCCGGCTAAAGAGCGCTGTTGTAGATCTATAGTGAAGTCCGTTAAGCCCATGGGTGTCTGACCCTTGGATGGGCTATAATGATTGTTTCATCACCTTTTGAAAAGACAGAGCCCTCATTACTGAGCAATATTCAAATCACTCTGTGGGTTCATCTGTTGCTGGGTCTGATAAGAAAGGCATAATAATAATATTGCCATTTCTCTTACCAGATACTGGAATGCATGCAATGTACCCAGCTTGCACCACCTTCAAAAGGGACTGGCTTTCAGAGAGGAGACGCTCAGGACCCAAAAGGTGGACATTCAAAATCAGCGATCCCCTTGAGAATCACAAACCCAAGGCTTCACATGCAGCAACGGTCACACCTGAGTGACCGACTTGCAACTAGTTTCAAGATATCTCATGGCCATTTCCCTCCCCTATAACCACAGGACCCGTGCACTCATCACTCACTGGTCCTGTGCTGAATAGAGACCGTGTCGCTCCGTGCACCATCCTTGTAATATGCCCACATCGATATCTGGTATTCTGTGTTCTTCTTCAGCCCTGGCAAAACAGCATTGGCCACATTGCCAGCAACAGAGAGCTGTGATATGAAAGAGAAAGGTCTGTAAACGGAGGTCCCAGGCAAGGGCAACGAGCAAAAAATGAAACAGCAAAGGCTGAAGTCCCTTCGTAGCAAGGGAAGCTCTTCTCTGGAGAGTCTCACTTTCTACAAAGAAGGTGACCTCCTGCAATAGCTTGCCCCACGTCCTCTCTGGGTAAGGAACCAAGTGTTTGCAGACATATGAAGGCATGAGATGTTCCACCTGCAATCAAGGCTCTTCGTTGTGATGTTTCTGCAGGTGCTGAGCCACAGTAGATTGGGGCAAAAACTTCCCAACTGGACTCTAACCCCAGCAACCCATTGTGCAGACTGTGGGATGCTGGTGTGTGGTGCAAGGGCTGCAACCCCAAAACTCAAGAAGCCTCAATTACTTTGCACAACAGAAATGCATTTGACATATTCCCCTGTCATTTCTCCCCAAGTAGACTGCATTTTACATAATGCACATTAACTAGAGCAGCTTCAAAAGCACTAGTCCACGTGTATATTGAGCACCCTTCATAGCCCAATGCCAGCATATAACATATTGTTCCAATTATAACTTGACCCTGAATAAGTGAAGCTCATATTTTTAGGTTCAATAATAAGAAAAAAAACCCCACCCTTGAATAGAAGTTGCTAAAACTCCAGGTAAAGACTTCAAACTACTCCTTCCCTTATACAGCCCCACAGGAGACTCAACTAACCATGGGAGGGACCCCAAGAATTAAATGCACGAACTGAACTGTAAAAAAATTGCGACTGGGTATTGTGATTGCATGCCCAAAAATGCTCCAAGTCAAGGCTATCAAGAGGCCAGTTGCAGGCTGGCCACATGGAACAATAGTCTGATGCTATTTTCATGTTTCTTTTAGAGGAATAAAGAGGTAAGCTTATCATCGAAACACCACAGCCCCAGCCTGCTCATCATGAAGCATGCCCCATGCCACCTCAGGTGTTCACTAGACCATACCTCCTGAGATTTCTCCTCGCCAACCACGTTCCACTTAATCTGATAGACAACCACATCGGAGGCCGCGGCCGCTTCCCATTGCAGGCGGACATAGTTTCCGGAGAGCTCAGTAACCTTCACAGCGCTCGGTGGAGGAACTTTTGCTGAGACACAGAAGGAAACAAGCTGAGGATCAGGAGCTGACACCGTCTTGTCAGAGCCCCGGTGGGGAGCAGATGGTCAGGGTGAAAAGCATTCAAGGAGCAGCTGGCTCCAACCAGCCTGTCTTTCACTTCGTCAGACCCCCCAGTTACAACAGCCCGTCAAGACAGACAGGGATAAAATATTTTTTTTAAATGCTAATTAAGGATAATTATTTCATTTTGCAGAAGGAATGCTACAGTGCTGGCACTTGGGTGGGGGAAGATGCTGGGGAGGGTTTTCAAGGACAAAGAGGTGAGTGCTACACCCCAGGCTAGAAGGCAAGGACATCAAGAGGGTCTGTTTCTTTCTCATCTTCACATTTATAATTTAGGATGGGTTGGTTTCAACTTCATTGCTCCTGGGTGTTCACAGAAGTCCTGGCACTGGTATCAGTAAGGTGTTGTTCGGGCAGACTTCAAGCAACACAGCTAGGCATTTCACACCCCTGCTGCCCCCGCAACCCCATCCCACAAATATTTGCTTGGGTTTTACACCGAGTACTTTTGGTATCGTTTTCCAGGACTATATGCCTATTTTAAGCAAAGAAAGTCACGTAAACTCCAGTTTGAAAAGGTGTCACTTTTAACAAAGATTTGTTCACAATGCAAGGTAGGCCCCAGCCTGTACAAAGAGCTTGATGTGAGCAGACCCTGGCTGCACAGCTCATGGCCGGACAGGGGCTTTTGAATGTTTTGCACTCAACTTTTGCCCTGCCATTGTCATAAGATGTTGGCAGTCAGGAGCCAGAAGAGATACTGCATGGCTTTCAGCCACAGTGCAAACTGCAAACCTTTGCATCTACAAAGCAGCAAGGGTCGGCTGTGAAATCCGTGAATAATTTCAAATCATGAATGCATCCAAGAATCTCCCAGGCTGCTTCTGGGTGAGTCACACATGGGAAGGCAGGGGGGGATTTGCTGAATAACATTAACGGTTATGACATATTTATCCAGCTCTAGTGCTGACCTCCTTGGCTAGGGCATACAAAGAGTTAAAGCAGCCCCATGTTTGGCCTGAAAGCAGAAGAGGATTCTTCTCCATTTTAATTTGGTCAGAAAATATTATCTGTCATCTTTATCAGTTTACTCTCCTGCTGTGCTCCTTGGGAAATGCAAGGGAGACATCCACAGAACAGCCCAGATAGAAGAGGGCAAACTCTCCTGTGTGCAGCAAAGGCAAGATGCAGGCCAGGCTGGATAGCAGGGGCATGAGCACAGGGAACTGGAAACCAGGAGAAAATCCTGAGTGAGGAAGGTGAAGGTTTAGAAGGAGCAAAAACACATTTCAATGGACTGACAGGGGAAGCATCGGTGGGGGAGAGAGGAGGAGAAGTGGGCAGGCATAGGGAAGGTATCAGCGAGACCAAGTACCCACCCAAAAGTGGGGAAGAAAACCAAGGAAGAGAAGGGAAATGAAGTAAAGTGATTGGAAGCAGTTACAATGGCAGGGATGGGGAGTGGAAGAGACAGAAACAAGTGGAAAAGCAATGAAGCTCCCTTGAAGGAGTGGACTGTCTATTATAAATGCCCTGTGTTATTTTATTTCCGCAGCACAAAAGGGGAGCAGACAAGAGCGTTGTATTTACCTACCTACTGGGCACCATTTGCCCATACAAATCACCAAGCAAATCAGGCGTGGACCGCTGCCTCGTGGAAATGTCAGTGAGAGTGTCAAGAGTGCAAAGTGCAGCCCCTGACCCCACCAGGAGAGGAAGAGAGGGAGAATGGCTGCTGGGAGCTATTATTAATCTCCGAGAGGTAGAAGGCTTCATACCCCACTCCCAGTCTCCTGATGGCACTGCATTAAGCCTCCCAGAGCATTGCCTGCACACTGCCCAGAGATGCAAGTGCAGCTGCGGCCTGGCTGGGCGATGAGCGGAGAAGGCCGGGGGAGCAAGGGAGTGGATGGCATCTCTCCTCCAAACAGCTTTGAGTGTTTGGGGGTGGGGGGGGGG